AGATGAAAGCTAAAATTAAGAAGAAAAAGAGCACGACGATCAAAGCTAAAAATTAGTTATTTTCAAGGATTCGTGGTAGGGAGATCACAATGTATAAATACCAAACATATTTGAAGTGAAAGAAAAAGGGAAAATGACAAAATTCTCATAGTTGGTAATTATATATCGACAAAATTAATTAAGGATAAAAAAAAATTTCTTAATATTTCTCTCAGTTACATAATTACTCCTACCTTTTACTCTTTTTTTTTTTTACCATATACCCAAATTTCACGCACACGAAAAAATTGATACTCAAAGTTAATGCATAAGAAAAGATAGCTTGAAAATCGAATTTAATGTATAAGAAAAGAATATGAAACCAAAAAGACATTGTACAATTATATATAACTAGCGTTGGTGCACCGCACGAGATACGGTGTTTGGTGAAAATATACCTGATTTATTGTAGAATTCAAATGCTCTGTGACGTTTGAATTAATCATCTGTGGTCTAGTAATTAAGTTAAATATTTGGTACAATTTGCGTTTGTTCAATTTACTCTTAGAAGTTACAATGTCTTTTGAGGATTTGACTCTCCATAACAGCACTAATGCCCCAAAGAACACCATAAACTCCAAGAGGAAGCCAACCACAAGTATCACTGTGCTTGAATTTTTCTTCCCCTAAGTTAAGGATTAAATTTAGTGAATTATTACCATAGGAAACAAATTTTATTGTGAATTTGTGATGACCGTTTATTTGAAGAAAAAGATGAGCTAATACAATGAAAGTGCATGTTGAGAAATGGATGAACCAAAAAACCTTTTGCTAGAATTCTTTTGACAAGCCGTAAACCAAATTCGCTTCCTCTCTTTTTCGCTCATTCTGAACAGAAGAGGAGAATAAGCTTCAATAAACAAAGAAGCTGTGGAGAAGATGGGTCACTGGTCACTGGATAAAAAAGTCGCTACAAAATAGCCACCTTACAGAAGAAGGGGTAAAACGGTCCATTATGGATTAACACGTCACCTATTACCACATGCAACCTCCAGTTAACCGTGCCAAATCGGGATCCCCTTTATATTAAGTAGATAGATGTTGAAAAAAGAAACAAGAGAAATAATATTTTTGAAAATGAAACAAACAAAAAAGAGTATGTGTTGTTTTTTTAGTACAATGAAAAGAGACAAACGGTGGATATCCAAGAACGATTGACTGTAGGAAGCTCCATATGCATAAAGTTTCGTGCAATCCAAATCATGGAAAACCTTTTTTATGAAACGTACTTGTATAAATTAAAAGCTTACATATATGTGCCATGCTCCCGTTTGGATGTGTACAGTATGTTTGAAAATATTCAAACAAAAAACATAAAATTAAAAAAGGTTTCTTGTGGATCCATATAATTCTTGATAGCCTGTGCATCAATAATGGTATTCTTGAATTTGAACAACTACTACTTTCAATAATTAACTTGTAACACAAGTTAGTAGACTAACTTTGAACTATCTAGTAACCATCATAATTAGACATCCGTGAACTCACTTTTCTTCCATTTTCTATCCTCTTAATAATACGAACATAAGGCCTTGCATCCGAATTCTTTTTATGAGATCAATGTATACGAATCAAGTCTTAAATGTTCCGTAGATGCTTCAGTTCAAATCATACAAACAATTTGTTATTCATGCAGTTCCTCAATAATTTTTCAAGAACAAACATCTACCCTTATTTACTCCCGTTTTGGACTTCAACCCTCAATAATGTAGTGAACACTGAACAGTGAACACCATTTCATTTTCCACTCCTTTTGTCAAATGATCCCTCCTACATGTTTTATTATTCTTAAACTCATTTTGGGCCAACTCACATACACGTAAGAATTAAATTTGTTTTTCTAATCATAGTTGTTGATAGGTCCAGCACATCCAAGAGGAACTAGCCACTTCTTCTTCTTCTTCATTTTTTTTTTTTTTTTTTTTTTTTTGGTTGCAAAGAAACTAGCCACTTTAAGTTTATGTTAAATGAACCATGGTGAAAGCACACGTTAGACCAGGCAATGAAGATTACAATTACCAAAGTGATTATTTTTATAAAAATAAAAATTGAAAAACTTTGAAGTCTTATATATACTTAACGTCAATGAAGATTACAATTAATTTAGACGGACAGAAATAATGGATTAATGTGCGAATCATTCGTTCAGTTAGGACACCTACAATTTTTCATGGTTCAGCTTCAACTTTATTTTATTTTATTAATTTTTTACATTATCTAATTTCTTAATGGGGAAATGGGCACATATACCGACATATTCTGGTCGATCCAAACCAATAATTGATAACAGGATCTGAGGGCAGTCAAGTAAGCCCAATCCAACTGATAGTTGAGATTTCCCTAATTCACGAGTCACATATAGTGTTATGGTTTGAACTCTTCCATTTTGTTGTGAAATACTTTGGGCTTTATGCCTTTATCTTTGACCCTAGACTGGCTCCTTTCCAACACGGGCTCCGTACGTTACAGGGAAAATCATGACAGTTGTACATTCTCACCAAATTATGCTTCTGTTCCAATCTTGAACACAAATGCACCAGATTAATGACTGAATAGATAAATAAAAAATTCCTTTATTTTTGGGCCCGTATATTGATATTTGATAATTGACTCAATAAATTAAAATATTTCTCATGATTAATTTATATTGTATTATCTTACGTGATACTACAGTTATATGCAAGAATTATTTAGAGACGAAAAGTTGTTAAGTATGTTTAATGTTCTGAGTGCTACATTACTTACTTTATACCCGTTCTATTTTTCCTTGTGTCCTACCGGATAAGATGACTATGTAAATATAGTGGGAAAAAAAGACAATCAAAACGGTGAAGATGTCAAAGAGGAAGAAAAATTATATTGCAAGTCAAAAATAACAAATTGTTCTTCGGCGGTCTTCTTGTTTTAGGTATAGTGAAAACTGAAAAAGTAATGAGTCTGAAACTTGTTAGGTAAGTAAAATCCAATAAGAGATTGACTTCACTTTTGATAGGGCTCATTCCGAAACTTGTCAATATATATTTTCCAACTGATGGTTCACTGGTGAAGTCAATCCTTTTGGTTTTAATAATACTTGTCCAACTTAAAGGTTTGTTTCCTTCCTTGAGCATTCCGTTATCCATTTTTTGAGATATTTCTTAGTCCAAAGTGTGAAGACAAAGTTGTTAGATTATCTAATTTGATAGAATTTGCCCCGCTTACTCTGTCTAATCACGTCTTAATTATTGCTGAATTGTATGCATTCTATTCCTAACATAGAGATTTTGTTCATCTTCCTTCATCCATTTTCAAAACCCTAAAGCTCAATATCCAGTACCAAAACTTCAATAATCCTTCCTTACAACTTCTGCCTCAAAACTTAAAAGATCACTAGAAACCCTAAACCCAAAATCATAAGCAGTAAATATCTTCATGTCGATCCTACCTTGAAAGTTGTCAAAATAAGTTAAAATTTTCAAGCTAAAAATTACACTTTGTATCTCACGAAACTAGTCGACATTATAATTTGTAAATTTACAAAAAACAACTCATTCACAAATTATAGCGTGGAGTGTGGACTATAACGAAAAGAATCTATTGGTCAAAATGTCTAACAATCTTACTTTAACTGATGAAATATATTTTTGTCAAGCTAAAGGTTTTTTTTTTTTTTTTTTGTAGGAATTGTAGAAAGCTAAAGGTTTATAAAAGCTACAAAATTACTACATCACTCCGATCAGCACAAGATATCTTGTCAATCAACTGGTGGACTTGGTTGTTAGGGGGATAATCTGTTACTTGATTACCAAGCGAAGGGACAATGTGACAATTTTATGAAATATTCAGGGACTAGAAAATAAATTTACCAAACCTTCCTGCCATTTTCTACCATTTGACCCACAGCAAATTATAAACAAATCGGAAAACATTGGTTCTTTTTCACTTTGTTTTCTTGAATTCAAGTTCAAAAGGTAATATAACGAATAATATTAAGCAACAAGCTGGAGCTAAGGTGATGAGTGATGATGATGATCAGACACGGATAAATAAGAAGAATATTATGCACGCCCCGATTGAGTCTAATTTGGACAGAATTATTCGTCTTCGGAGGTTTCAAATTAAAAGTACGGACTCTCCCAGCCTGTCACCTGTCGAGACTACACCAATTTTAGTAAGTTTCCTAGAATTTCTGGGACGCAGACCTTATAATTCCATAGCTTTTGTCGCGATATTCTACTTGGGGACGTAAGCAATTACATAGGAATACTGTGGATCTTACCTCATTCTTATGAACCTTTCTTTTTTTTTTTTTCCCCCATAGATTTTTCATAGTCATTTCTCTTGTTCAGTTCTTAGTTACTAATATATATATATTTTTTATATAGTTCAACATGTCGTGTTGTCGTGTTTAATTTGTATTTGGTTCACACAAGTGTTTTTCTTTCCTTCTCTAATTATTTGTACGTCATGGTATTGTTGGAACTCATTCAAGAATCATAGGAGAAATCAGCACCAGCTTATATTTATTTTTGAAGCTGAAAATAAAGGGGGAAAAAACAGCTTATTTAATTCTTCGAGCCCTGTCGAATTAAAAATGGCAAGTGGGGGGGAGAGCGGAAATCTTTTGCCAAACTCAGCGGAACGATCAAGTCGTACGTTCTAGCTATACTCTTATGTCTTGTCACTGAGGATTTATATTAACTAACCCTCTAGATGTTTCATTAACATTTACATGATTACGGAATATTTGATCTATTTTAAAATAATAATATAGTTAAATAGTTGCACTTTTTAGGGAGTGTTTTTCTTCTTTTTCTTCCGAGTCATTGATCGATCTTTTGGTGAAATCGAGTAAATTCTCTGACATCAGACCAAAAATATGCTCTAAACTTGGCTGTCAAATTGTCAAAGCAAGAAACGGATGAGGTTCTTTAAATTGTAATCACAACTTTTAGAAGCACGACTAGGGCGGATATTAATTGCTTTACTCTTGGTGGTGGATATCATGTTACATTTTGCTCTACACGCCCGTATAGTTCACTTTCATAAAGTTCTTTTAAGGAATTAGTCGATCGAGATATTTTTTTTCCCAAGCAAATTCAATTTTACTTCTCTCAGTCTTAACATGATTATCATAATTGTTATACTAAAATTAATATGATCTTTAAACAACCAGTTAGGTACAGAGATTTAGATCAAAATTTTGCAATACTTCATTGGGTTGACTTACACACAAAGAAGTATCTTCTCATCCATTTTGATAAGAAAAAAGATTTAACATTAGGATGGACTTGGCAGGGCACCTGACATTGCCAGATTATCTCTTTCGAGATTTAATCTGCTCAAGTGATTAGCCCTACTTGTATACAATCTTTTTACATTAGAACTTTGTTCATTTAGCAACTTCACTAAACTCCTCTTTGCATTTGACCTAAACGGGCAATTTGATGACAAGAATCCATCCACCAAGTGCAAATAAGCCTCCAAATCATGGCAACATGCAACATCCGCATCGGGCTTCAAAAAAGGTGACATTTTAGTGTCAACCCTCAGTTCTGTCCCAACATGCGAATATGCCCAAGGCATGCTATTATCAAGTGCGTTAAGCACCGCTCCGGCTCCGGAATCCCTTAACTTTTTGTCAAGTTCTTCACTCACAAACATGCCCGGAACCTTGGTGATCACATCTTGCGAGTTCACTACTCTAAGTACTTTAACGTTGTTCGAGTTGATCAGGTCCGCGAATCCTCGGTTGCCAACCCGTGGGCCACCGAAGGAAAATACCGCCACGGGTGGGGCATCGGGGGCACATGTACTGACCTCATTGGCCACTAGGAGCGCCAAGGCGGCCCCTAAACTGTGCCCCGTGACAGTTATGCTTAGGGTCTCACCTTTGTATTCTTCAATCAATCTTTGGATTTCTTCCACTACTGATTGTGCTAAGCTAGGGACATGAGCTCCAGGAGTGTTGAACAAACTCAAAAATCCACATTCCACTTTAGGTTGTGTAGAATTATTATTTGATGCATTATTTTCTCCTGGAATTTGTACTAGCACGTCTCTCATGTTTTCGGCCCATTCGAGACACGTGGCCGTGCCACGTAGGGCGATCACGATGTCCCGCCTTCCCATCCGTTGGATCTCCCTTTGATCGTTGCAGACCGCCACGTAACCCATCCAGCTGGATCTCTGGGTCATCCACCCGAGATCCGGCGCCACGTCATCCACCCACTTAGGCAACCCGATGGATGCCGTGGCGTAGAGGCTCTTAGTCACCTTGTAGGACCTATCGGGCAATGCCACGTGACGAGGGGAAGGAGCTTCGTCCGGTGACATGGCCGGATTGGAGTGGAAACCATGATAAGCTGCCTGAACAAACTCACCGTACCGGACCACTTCTCGCCGGAGATTCTCGTCCAGGGGATCAAGAAGCCCGGCCCAATCATTGCATCCGTGATAATCCCGCCACCGGCTGCCGAGAATATTCCGGGGAGAATATTCCTGTGACGACATGGAAAGAAGCCGTTGGAGCCTATTCAAGTGTTTCGGAGACATTTCTTCGGCAGCCTTCATTTCAGGCCATAAACGGGACAAATTAAGCCCTTCCAACAATCTTCTCCCTTTATTTTCAGATGAATTATTCTGGGATTTTTCCTTAACAACAACTGGTTCAGAATTCTGCAGGACTGAATCCGATTCCTTGTACAACAGCTTCTCCAAATTGGAAAGATGCTGTCTTGTCACCTCTGTTGTTGATTGAACTGAAGATGCTCTGATCACTTGTGATTGAAATTGAGGAATTCTTGTTAAAGGGTTCAGAGGAGATCCATTGCACCTGAAACTGGCACGTTTAGCTTGGAATTGACTCAGGTGATGAGCTGGGATTGTTGAACTAATTTGCATCATTTTGTTGTTTTTGGGTTTAGGAAATGACAGAACAGAGAAAACAGAGGGGGATTAAAATCGCAGGTTGTCGGAACAGAACAGAGGAAAGAAGTCAACCAGTTAATCAGAGGCTTTTCGTGTTAAGGTTTTTTCTTTTGGGGCCTCCCAATTACTGGCTTGCTGCTGTTTGAAAGACAAATGCCCAGTTGGGAACTTGGGGGATGGGATTTGAGGTTTATATAGGCGAGAAGTTCCAGTTATACCCTTGGTCTCCATAGCAAAAAAATGCGTTCTAATACTGAGATGTGAACTCTAGTGAGGGAGTTTTCTGACCAAGATTTAGAAAATCTGAGAGGTCAACTTACTCGGTTTATGTTGATTTCTTGTTTTTTATTTTTCCTTTTTCATTATTCAAATCACTCGGTTATCCTGTTATATTGCATCTTTTTTTTTTTTAATAGAAAAAAATGTAGTCTAATCTGGAGGAACATGGTGGTTGTTAGCTTTTCGAGTGAATTGTCGACTGTGTCCTTTTATGGGGCAAGACAGACAGAACTTGTTGGGGGCAAACCTTAAAGCCATAATGGTGTCTTGAATTTCAGATCGCCTCGGAATTAATTGAGGAATAACGATTCGTCCCAGAGAAATTTCACATATAAATTTTTTCGAGGAGTACTTGTGACGCTTGACGAAATATTTATTTTTTCGAGGAAGAAGAAGAAGAAGGGAATTTAAGTACTCTCTCTGTCTCAAAATTATTGTCCAATTTGAGATTTCACTTTTAGTACAATTTAAACTATAAATGAAAACTCAAACTGAACAATAATTATAAGACTTAGAGGGAGTACAATATTGATAGATTAATTGACGAAAATGATTTTGTACAACGTATATGCTGATCTTATTACTTTGTAATAGTCATATCTCAAATGCTATCTTTGGGGTTGAACTTGGGAAATATTGGTGTCAAATTTTGGGATATTTTCGGCCATTGACTAAAATAACATATCTACACCAGTTGTAACGATTAACGGCAACCAGTTTTCTTGGTCGATTATGTAGTGTAATCTGGCCAACAATTTTTTTGTCAATTTGATACGTCTTCAAATTTTAGTAGGAAAATTTCTATTTACATTTCAATCGTCAAGATGCTATAGAGAAATTTTGATTTCCTCTTGAAACGTCATTTTATTGATTAAAAGTATTAATTGAGAATTTATGCATTCATGAAAATTCTATTGTAAATAAAACTTTATTGTAGAGAAATATCCGACTGGACTTATGTCCGCCAAAAGTTGAGGCAAACGGGTCCTAGTCGTTGATGTTAGGAGTAAAGCGGGTTGAAATTTGAATAATCTAAATATAAATAAATAAATAAATAAAAGTGGCAAAAGGTAGGATTGTGAAGTCAAATGGTGCAATTTCTTGCACTAGTAGCCAGCTAAAAGTCCCAAAACTTTACTTATTGGAATATAATATCGGCGCTTTCATATTAAGATTTTCTTCTGCATAGATTTTACTTTACTTTACTGCGAGTTTTTTTTTTAAAAAAAAATCTTGAAAAATCTTCAAGCTTAAAGTACCAAAAAATAAAGTCGGATCAAGAAGGGTAATGTTTTGGAATATTAATTTCAAGGTAATGATAATCAGCCTAATTGTCTCCCGTCGAAATTTTGATTATTCCATCTGTAAATTTGTATGTCAAATTAGCAGTCTAACTCATTTCAAAATTTTGGATTTGAGGTAAACAACAAACTAGCTAGTCTAGCCTCAACGGCATGAAGGATTTGTTCAAAAGGATTTGTCTTACGAAATTTCGCCTCTTATGTTTTGTGAATGCAGAAATGATAAGTCCAAAGGAAATTTACCTAATTTGGCTATTGTAATGAGAATATATATATATATATATATATATATATATATATACCGCTTGCCATGTAGTGAAATGTGCTGAATTGTGTGATATTTTATTTTCTTCAAGAATTAAGTTATGATAAATATCTAGTTGCATATTTTATCTCATGATTCTTTCAAGACATGGTGCAACATGTCTCCTACCAATATATAGAAAACGATATAAAAATGTATTTTGACATTACTTAGAGGGTTTCGTGTTAATAAAAATAAATCAGTTCAAATATCACGTTAATCACTCAAAATTCGAGATAATAACATTATAACCGTAGGTTTCACCCCCTTTAAAAACATTATATTTGGGGAAATTTTCATCATCGGTGGATTTACTTTGTTGGCCACCCTATATGCAAGTGTTGAATGTTGATTACTCGTGGCTGCAAATTAAGCGTCCGATTAAAACTGTTGCTATAGAATTATCAAGCGCGGGATTAACTGAAAGTGGAGCCCTGTATAATACTGAATTAAATACATGATTATGTCCCCTAATCACAGTTATCCACAGTTAGCAGCATGATTTCATTATATTCAATTCAACCAAAGAGCACATCATCACACGCCAAGATTCCTCTTTCCAACTCTGATATGACAATTTTTTTTTTTTTTTGTCACTTTCATGTGATGAAGCAAACAAAAACCCACCAACACCAACACATCTTCTTACATAAGAAAGTATTAAAATGCACCATTTTATTCACATGGGCCACATTCAAAAATTCAATAATTATGTAATTGTATTCTGATCAACTTTTTTATTTTATTATTATTATTATTATTTTTTTTGGGTTTCATTTTGCTGCTCCATCTCAATCAACCGACCGCACACGTATGCTACGCTCACAAATATTGTGTTTCAGTCTCCAATATCAGCCGAGTGAACACATAAACGTGTGTATCTTTTTTTGCTGATGATAAGCTGAATTTCTCGGACCAAATGGAAGAATACATGAAGATGTGTGCAATATTTACGACTGAATAATTTGAACCAATTTTAAGTCCATCATCCAGCGTGAAGTTTCTTGTCCCTTTGTTTTTTTTTTAAGGCATGTTTCAGAGTTTGTAATAAACAATTGAAATTAGTGCAAGAAATTTGGCCGGAATGCATGATATATCACTTTTATAATATGGGGAATCAGCAATTTCATTTGGTGTTTGGAGGCGCTAACCTAGTACGTACCGATGACTACCGACCACAGCAAAGTGTGAAGGGAACTGTAAGCAAGACCCGCAGCTAAACTTCTTCTTTTTAGTCCAAATGTCCAACCTAGGTTCAGGCAAAAATGACAAGGATACTAAACAGATTGACATGAGAAAGCAAAAGGTTTGTACTTGTGTATGGATAATGTATATGTTTGTGTTTACATTCCTTTCCCCAGAAAAAAAATATAAAATAAAATAATGGAATAATCTTTTTAATTGTTATACTTTCTTTGGCTCGAAATGATAATTGTTGAGTTTGAATTTTATTTCAGGTACAAACCACAATATAAAAGTGAAAATTCAAACAAGAATGAATATTAATCATTAAGGGACCAATGGTTGGAAAAACAAATATAGGTGAGTTGATCTTAATTTCAATGGTTTAAGATGCCAATTGTTTTCCAATTCCCAACTGCAAAAAAAAAAAAAAAAAGCATGCGTGATGAGAAGGAAGCAACATAAGTAAATCATGTTCAACTATCTTGATGGTATGGTTAGGTGGAGACTGCAAGTGGGGGAAATTAAATTGATTGATTATAAAGAAAATGTAAATTTCAAACAGAAGGGTGCTTGAGGATCTATGAGGAACCCCGCAAAAAAACCCCTAAATATAAACATCCTAGCTAGTATGTTGTTATATCTAAGGAGATGGTTACCTATAACATTTATAAATATATCCTTCCACATTATATTATTTTAATTTGACAAACTAAATTATTAAAGTGGGACGGAGGCAGAAAAATTACTCGTGGAAACCCGTAGAATCACTAAAAGAAATAGTCCAAACAAAAACAATTGAATGGAAGATTTAATCGAGTAGAAGTCAAGTTATCAAATACGTAAAACATGCACCTGCAGTATACATTATTCTCTAGTGGAATAAACGAAAATTCTAAGTGACCAATTTATTAAGGAGGAGAAAAACATAATATGATGAACAGGGTCTGCGTCAATTCATTATTAATGTCATATCGATGCATTTCACTCGATAAATTTTCTGTTTCTTCTTTAGTTTTTGACGAAACTATTAAAAAAACGTCTAATAGAGCAAAAGGCAACAACCGGCAAGGCAATAAAGTTGATAATTTCCATTGGTTGTAACCCCAAAAAAGGGTAGGCATTTTCACGTCGCGAATCGAGCTTTGTTGGAGGAGACCACAGAATCGTCGCTATTGTCACCCTTCTTTTTCATCCCCTTGGACAAATTATGGTATGCGAGAAAAATATGTGATAAAGTGCGAAGAAATGATCACAAAAGTAATGCGCCAATAACTTTTTTTGAGAACCCATAACCAAGGTTAATGGTGTGGTGCACGAGCCACGATATCCATCTATCCATCCGATCCATATCAATCTAGAATTAATGGACGGAGAACGTCCATTTTTATCTCGTATAATTAACATCATTGACTTTTGACATTATAAACTACTACTATCATTTTAAATATTAGGTTTTCAAATTAATGAGGTGATCACACACTATCTTTGTGCCTTAAATTTCAAGGTCTACTTAATTTGATTAAAACCTCTCAACAATCAAGCAGTTGAGAGTAATGGTTAATTAGCTAAACACATAAATTTTATACATTTGCCACTTTCAAGAAGGAAATTACGATGGCATCTTTATCACGGTGTAAAATTCAATATAAGGAAAAGAAAAGGACATGGGAGTTTTTAAATGGCATTTTTTCTAATCTTAGATTAGGGGATACTCTATGATTTGGACTTCAGGCGAGAAAAGACAATGTGGAACGGAAACGATAAGGTTGGCCAAGCTAACTGCAAAAGCCAAAACGTTTTAATATTATTAGCCATTTGCGTGTGCACACAATTTGCCAAAACACCCTCTAATTTCGTTTTAAATTGAGTAATAACGTCATTAGTATGGATGCCTTGAGCAACATAACACAACAAGCTTCACTTGAGAATGACAAATTTATCGTCATTAATTCCCTAAGCAGCGAACTTGGCTATGAAATGACTAGAGAGTTTGGATGCAGGATATCTTTCGACTTAGGCATGTGTGGTGCCTTCTCAAAAATCGGAAAATGTATTACACCAAGCGCTATCTCAATTTTATATAGATTAAAAAAAATTAATTTTGTTTATTTCGGAAAAAAAATTTG